CGCTAGCCCGCTTTAGTATCCGTTATCCTCTTAAAGTCCTACTTTAACTATACTATATCTAGGCTAGTAGATCTAGGCAGGGTATTACCGGCGGCGGGGGGGGCTAGGGTGTTACCGGCGGAGGGGGCTAGGGTGTTACCGGCGGAGGGGGCTAGGGTGTTACCGGCGGAGGGGGCTAGGGTATTACCGGCGGAGGGGGGGCTAGGGTAACGGGAACTCGATTTTCTGTAATAGCGGTTATATAGCTGGTTTAGAGTAGTAAGTTAGGGATAGGCACGTACTATTAGAAAGGGAGTAGCCGCTCCCTAACGAGTTAAAAAGAGTAGTTAGCATAGGTACCCTGAGTAGTACTATAATATCCGTCCGGCGGCACTATATACTAGGCCTAACGCCCGAACCTCTTAGTGTAGCGGTTATACGCCGCTATAACCTCGTCTCTAATAAGCTAAACTATAGTGGCCAGGACGTTAATAGGCTTCTTCGTAGAGAAGGCGCCACGGGTAGCCTTATTGGATATAAGGTTATAACGTATAGGAAGGTCGGCGAGGTTCTATACGGCACTAGTAGCCGGGCGGGAGTACTTAGTTAGGAGGTTAGCTATAATATATTTAAAAGCGCCTATATATAAAAACACGGTTAGTAATATCTATACTCTATCTATAAAGATATAATAACTTACTTAACGCCTTAGGGGTAAAAAAGGGGGGGGGCTATATCCTTATAGGTAAAGAGGGGAGCGCTATCTTCTTTAATAGGAGGGGCGGCGGGAGAGATATTAGCGGGGGGGCAGGCGGTAGGAGGGGCGGTGAGAGAGGCGTTAGCGGGGGAGGCGGCGGCGGCGACTTACTCGTGAGCTAACTTACGCTTCTTCAAGGTTACTATATATAGAAATATTACCTATTATAATAGCTATGTACGAGATAGCTAGCGATATATCTTATAAGGCAAACCCGTAAGCTTTTCCTTAATAGTATTAGGGATATCGTAGATATTAAAAGGCATAATGACGATAATAAGGATAGTGGCGATAATAGTAATTATGACGATGAAAATGGTATTAGCGATAGCGGTAGTAAAAACGGATCTGTTAATATCGTGATAGCTATAGTAGTTAGAATTTTCTATCGAGGGCAAAAAAGGTCGTATAGCGAGCTATTATTCTATAGAAGGCAGGAACGAGGGCATAGCCAGAGAGCACCTTTCTTACCTTAGCTATATACGTGGCTATTGTACTACGCTGCTAATTACATTAATAGTAAAGCTCTATTTATTATAAAGGTAAACATTAAAAGTAGGAGGATATTAGAGAAGAGAATAATAGCAGAGGTCTTCTTTATTATAAAACTAAGGCGTATCTAATACTGCCTACGTATATAAAGTAACCGAAATACTATAGCGATAAAGAGACTATTTTTAGTAACCTTTAACTAGCTATTTAAGACTTAAGTACTGCTAAGCGCGACGATTAGTATCAGTCTATTATTCCCGTATTACCTCCGACGTATTACGATATAGTATCTTGTAGTTAAATTAACCCTTAAATATTAAGCCGCTAAGTATCTTTACACGAGATATAGTAACGTAGATAAGTCCCTGTATAAACTCCCTCTAAGATATATCTAGCACCACGTTATTAAGCGTTAAGCCCTAAGACTTATACACCGTAATAGTATAGGCTATAGTAAGAGGGAATTATGTGCGACTATAAGGTCTATTACCTTTAATAAAGTCTTAAGTAGACCGTAGAATAGCAATAACTTATCGAGTACCGAAAGCCTCCTCGGCGATAAAAGCAGGCCCGGTAGAGTTATCGAACTAATCAAGGATCATAATAGGGGTATCTATACGCTAGTTAGCGCCCTTAGCCTAGGCGATATCCAGAATAGTCCTAAGGGCACTATTATAAAGGCCGTATCGGGTCCAGATATTTTCCATTAGTATTATATAGGCGCCCTTATAAAGCTATAGCTTATTATGAAGATTACCAGTATTCTTATACTTAACCCTATCGGGATACGTAGTCTTAGATCCGGTATAGGAAGCCAGGACTAGTTTAATAGGCTCCGCGATACCCTATATATAGGTGATATTAAACTTATTAACCTAGGTATTAGTAAAATACACACGAAACGCAGAGTCGAATCGACCGACTTCGTTAAGGGTTAAAAAAGACCGAACACGAGTAGATAATAACTACTAGTCTTTACGGGTAGGGGTCGAATAACGTAGACTCTTAAGGGTATTCCGAAAGCCGGCCTATTCGTCACCCTACTATTAAATAATCTCGTCAAGCTCGATAGTCCTATCGAAGAGCCCGTATATAATACGACTAATAACCTTATACTCGTCTTAAAGAATATAGGAAGTGAAAAGTAGCCTCTCCTAAATAGCTAGAAGCTAGAAGAAATCCCCTATAAGTAAAATATTAATACTACTAAAGGGGATATCGGCGTTATTAGGAAGTAGCTACCGAAGGCGGTTATTAATCTAACTAAGTAAACGGATACCGATTATAGACTTCTTATCGATAATAAGATACGGAATATAGGTCTATAAAGGCTATAGGCGGCTAATATCGTTAGCTTTAAGGAGATAAAACTAGGACTAAGTCAATAGAAGACGGAAAAGCGAATGTAAGGTAGTACCGTTAATATTATTTACTATAAGGCTAGTTAGCGTATTAAGCTAAACGGGGTTAGGATATCTAGTACCCTCGCTGTATAAAATAAAGCACTATAAAGTAACCGGATAATAAAAGATTTTCCGGTGCCACCACGACTATTAATATATAGAATTAGCCGAGGTGGAAGTAGCTAAGGTGGATAGAGATATTAGAGATTTATTCGGTAATACTATATAATGACGTCGTAAATCTGCCGCTGCTTAATATTAAGGGCGTCAAGCTATTTAAGGATAGGAGTATTAGGCTACGTGGAAGGTAGACCGTCACTACGAGCCTATAAATAAGTAGCTCGCTATATAACACAGAAATCGCTAGTTATCTTGGAATATAGACCGATATAACCACCCTACTAGTATGCTGGGTTAATATCACGATTACCTAGGAGTTTAAGGTTATTAGTCTTAAGCTAACGGTTCGGGAGCTTAGCTACTATCTTACACTAGGTATCGCGAGCTATTTATTCCTTAACCTGTTTAGTATTAAATTCGTTATAAGGAGGGGTAGTCGGGTCCTTATTAGGGCGTGGGAAATCGTAGTAGTTAGGCTTATAAAAGGCGTAAATAGCGCTATACACGGTATAGGTATTAATGTAATCATCGTATATATTACCGTCGAATACTAAAAGTTTATCTAGCTATCGAAACGGATAGTATACTCTTAACTTAATACGGTAATAGTATTCGCGCTACTATTTATTATACTCCATATACCTCGGAAAGTAGTTTAGTACCCCCTACTTAGCGATAAGGAACTCCCTTTACTACCTAGGATTCTGAGCTATAGTATCGATACGGGTCGTAAAGAAGAAAAAAGATATATAATCCTATTACTAAGGGCGATCTTAGTACTTCTAAAGAAGACTGCGATATAGCGTTACCTCGCCGGCCTTAATACGATAGATATACGTAGGCGGGCGATATTTAATAGATATAATAACGCGGGAGCTCTTATAAAGAGGGAGGTTTAAGAAAAGGTGATAAACCTTTTACATAGGCTAATCTCGCTCTATGACTAGCTTATTTATAAGCTTAGTAGCGAAGGATTATATAGGGTTGTATATATTAATACGTGGAAGGATAGCTTAAGCTATATCCTTATAGTTTTCAGTCTTCTTCTCCGCCTTAAAATAGTATTTCCTGAGGTAGTATATTATAGCTATAATCGACGTGTATAGAGTTAAATCCGTATTAGCCAGCTACCCTAATAAAATAACAGGGTTATAGTGATTTAGTAAGCTATTATTATACTAATCCGTAAAAAGCTAGTAATTAGGATTTATTAACGTCGTAACCTCGGGCTGCTAATACTATAGATAAAGGAAGTAAAAGCGGCAGCTTAGGTACTTAGTACTAGTCTTCTTATATAGGTAATACACCGGACTATATTTATAACGCTATACGCGATTTAATACCCGAGATAGGGCGGAAAGATCTATTAGTATACCGGGAATAGCAGCTACCATAAAAGGGTTAGCCTTAGCCTATATATCGTAAACGCAGTACGGCTCGGGGTTCATAGCGGTGATATAAATACCCTAAAAGGAGGTAAATACCTGATAAGATTCCCGGGAAAGTATATCGGCTATAGGAGTCCTATCTATCCAGTATAGCCTATAGTAATAGGTACTTCCACCGCCTTATTATTTATAGCGATCCTAATAGTCCACGACGTTAAGCTTAGGCGTTAAAACGATATCACGGAATAGCTTAAACCGATAATAGAAATACTAGGCCACGATATAAGGATAGTCGCGTATAATACGGCGAGTAAGTGTAATTCGGTTAGTCTCGGGTATATTTAGATCGTACCCAGGCATATACTAAAAAAGATTAGTATACTATAGCCAAAACCATAGAGACATAGGTATAGGGCAGCTGCTATAAAGAAAAAGTATAGGGACAGGTGGAGGGCATTGCCGCTACTATAAAAAAAACGTATAGAGACAGGTAGAGGGCAGCTGCTATATAATATAAAAATATACCTTATAGATCTAGTGCTAATAGTAATCGACTACACTAAATATTATAAACGTAGAGGGTATACCTAACGCTACAATAGTCGACTCTAGATAATATCGCTTATTATTCTAAAAAGGACGTGTTCCACAGAGGGTATCGGCGCGATAAATAGTAGAATTAAGGAGGCGACGAGCCTCGGGCGTATTAGACATAAAGGCAGCACGAAGCTTATCCGTAGATGAAGCTTAATAATCCGCTTACCGGAAGTAGAACGGGCTACGTTTACTAATAGTAATACGTATTAGCGTATTGAATACGAGGAACCGAAAATAAGGGTAACGGGTAAAACAACTATTATACTACTTTATAGCGTGCTGGATATATATAGTATAGTCGATAGTCTGTTCGCGGGGGTACACGAAGTCGGCCATACTGTACGGATATAACGAAGGAAATACGAGGGATAGTAGGGCCTGGCTATAGTTAAGGTCCATAATAGGCATTAATCGGAACGGAGGCACGGTGATATAATACTATTACTGCTACTATTACTGCTACTGGTTAGTATTAAGCTCTCGGCGTAAGATATTAAGATTAATATCCCGTATAAGAAGGTTAGGTATAGTAGCAGCGTTAATATTATCGTGGTCGTAATCAGGATTATTAGGGTCGAAAGTATTAACTAAGGCATCGACTTCCTAGATAGTAAGCTACTAAAGTATATTAGCGTTAAGAGGAAAAGACTCTAGGTTACATTAATCTATCGTGATATCTTAATACCCTGGGTAATAATACACGAGATAATATAGCTAGTCGGTAATAGCCTAATAATAAACACGAAAGTTACGATAAAATTAACGTTTTTGAAGATATCTGACGATATCAGATACGCGGAAGGGACGAAAGTCACGAAAAGCAGTGGAAAAAATAAGAAGGTAATAATGGGATTGTAAGGTAGGATCTCTGCGCGCGTATTCTCTTCTTCGGATCGAAAAAGGCATTGAGATAAAGGATTAAGGATTCAGAATAAAGAATAAAGAAAGGAAGGAACCGAACCGAGGGAACGGGTTAATATCCTTTGGATATCCTTTGTTCTTTGTAAAAGGATCGATATCGTAATAGTATTATAATATATAGATCGATATCGTAGAAATATCGTAATCCTTTATATCCTTTATCTGACTCGTATTTGATACACTGACTCGAAAGAGAACGGTCTAGGCTTACGGGGAAGATATCCTTTATTCGAGTACGAAGGATATACTCGAAGGATATTACGGATATTATTAGTAATAATAATACTATTAACTCCCCCGTAAGCTGGTTCTTATATAAGAAGGAGTAGCTTGAAAACGAGTATATATTAAAGAGTTATAACGCAGAAACCCTAGTTAACTAACTAGGACTAATTATAAGAGGAAAAATAAAATAAAACCTCTAGGGGAAAAATTTAAAAACCCTTAATTTCTTATAAAGGGAAAATTCGAAAACCCTTTTTATAATACTAGGAAAACCCGTAGGTAAAAAACCTAGTTATAGTATTTATATCTGGCAAAATCCGAAGATAAAAAACCTAGTTATAGACCTTAGTATTTTAATTCTCAAATTCGGGTATAAGGTAGTATATCGTAGTCAGGCAACGTATCGTCTTTATAGCCTAAATTCATATAACCGTATAGCGTATTATATAGGTGTTTAGTTAGACCTTTAGTTACTATATCGGCTATATTACATTTAGTATTTATATAAACGACCTTTATTTTAGTATTTTAAAGCTATTATCGGCAGTAGTGATACTAACGGTCTATATGCTTTACACGTTTATGAAATTCAGGATTTTCATAAAGCTTCTTTACGCTTTCGCTGTCTATTAATATAGTAAGAATCGGTATAATATTATTATTAGTATTATTATTATTATTATTATATAAACCGAAGTTTATATCAGTAAATAACCTAAGGTTATCTACTAGGTCTATATATATACTATCTATGTAGATTCCTTCTTTAGAAGCTTCGGTTAAAGCTATATATTCTGATTCTGTTATTAATAAAGCAACGACTTTTTATTTAGTAGAAGTCTAGCTTATTAAATTATTTACACCTATATAATAGATGTAGCCTAACGTAGAAGTCCTGTCTTCGATTATATCTGAAAAACTAGTATCAGAATAACCGTAAATATTAAGGTCTTTTTTATTAGAATAGTTATA